TAATTGGATTAACAACTCAAGAATTAAGTAATTTATTTCAAACCTGACAAGGTGACAAGGACCTAAATAGTCCAAGTGGCACAGTCATATCTGAAAGAATGGCAGAATTCATAAAGCCAGCACAGCTGCTTGACAAAGATCCAGCAGAGCTGAGCCACATGGTGGCTGCCATGCCACCTTTGGTTTTCACCTCCACCTGTTACATACTTGGGGCACTTTTAATATTTGTACAATTTGGGGATATTGGATTGATGGAAATTCCTTATGAATCATTTATGTCTTCTCCTAGGAATGCTGCTTCTAAGCTTACCCAGGAAAGTCCTGAACATACTATTCCCACCACCACCACTTTGAGGGAGATATCCTTATCTACTTGAAGGACTTCCTTCTGCCTTGGAGGTTGTGACACATAAAGAAGCCAGAGGTCTCTTCATGTGGCTATGAGACATTCTTGAAACATCTGTCCCTGTACTTACACTGGAACAATATATTCAAAACAAAGTAAATTCAAAAAGATCAGCAAGATCTGGTGGGCTAGAGAAGTTGGCCACAGCTCAGATTACAAGCCTCTTCCCACTGTACACTCAGACAATTATGTGGCATACAACTCTGCCCCACATAGAGACATACTGATGAGCAAAGTATGGAGTGGAAAGATGATAAAAGTATAAGAAGTCAGGACCTCCCTCTCTTAAAAGTTAGAGTCACTATAATGTCAAGGAACAACAGAATGCCAAATTCTATAAAAATATAAAATATAAGCATTGTATTATGTCAGGATTTGAATAAAAACAGCAGCATCTTTAGCCTGAGGATTTTCCCTGAGCACTCTGACCACTAAGAGTTAGTAATACACTGCCTGAGACATGGCAAAATGCCCAGGGTGGTTGAAGATTTTGTATTGGTCTAGTGTCCTTGAAGCAATCAAAACAACCAGCCTGAGCACAGGCTGTCATGTGCCTCTAGATTCTCAAAAATTGGATTATGGGTTTTATAAGTAAGAATGATAACTGTTTATTAATGATGTCAAAACTTGAGGGAAAATGATTGGAAATGATAACTCTGTTCTGTCATAGTTTATTAATGATGACTAAAAGATGAGCAAAAGGAAGTGAAACACATGTCCAAAAACAAAAACGATATTTTCTGTGTTTTGGAACATCAAGAATGTATTCCTGCTAACTAAATTCTGTATAAATAAAGAAACACTCTGGCTGCTAGTCAGTCAGGCTGCAAGATTCTCCCAACCACCATGGCCTGGCTCACTTCTTAAACCCTCTGCAGGACCCATCCACCACCGGGGATCATTTCCGGCATCCAAGAAAATGATCAGCTGAGGCTGAGAGAATTGTCTTTGGCAGAAAACAAATTACAGGATGCACATGTGGATTGTTTGGATCCAGAGCTTGATTGTACTCTGGTTATTCAGTCTTCTCTGCATTCTCCAATAGGAAGGTAAATACAGGGAGAAGATAATATCTTATAATGGGTATTTTTACCACACAAACAGAGTAAAACATTAAAGACCTATGTAGAAAATGTTTCTGAGTTGAATCTAAAAGGAAAATTGAGGCTTTGTCAATTAGCAGAAATAGACCCACCAGAAATTGTAGTACCTTTTAATATTGTGGAAATTTCCTCTTTATGGACAGAAAATGAACATTGGCAAAGAGCTTGCAGTAATTTTTTGGGAGAGACTAGCAATAAATATTCCAAAAGTAAGATAATTCAGTTTATAAAGATAGCTAACTGGATCTTTCCTCACATTGTACAGGGAACACCAATTTCTGTAGCCCTTATGTTCCTTATTGGTCCAAACAAATCAGGTATTAATAGATTTCCAGAACATCTTAATATCGTTATTGACTCTCAATATTCAGAAAGAGTTGTTTTACGTATTAAAATTGCTAAATTTATTCCAGATGATTCATAATTGACTTTGTTATTTATTCAGTTACAAGATAACCAGAAATAAAAATCATCCCTTATATATAATATATATTATATCCCACACTGGTCCACCAGGCCCCCTAGCACAAGATAATGATGAAACGGATCAACTACTGGCAGGAAATGTGCTAGAAACCTCAGAATTTCATAAGAAACACAATGTCAAGAGCAAGGGCTTGAAACAGTTTTTTTTCCATCACTTGGCAACAAGTCATGGACATTATAGTGAAATGTCCTACTTTTTTTTATTACCAAACTCTACTATCTGTAAACTAACCAAAAGGGTAAATGAAATTTGGCAAATAGATGTATTTCATTTTGGAGAGTTTGGGAAATTAAAAGATGTACACCATACCATAGATACATATTCAGGATTTCAAAAGGAAAATCCTATGAGTTTGAAAAGGCTGATTCTGTAATCACACATTTGTTAGAAGTTATGATGACCATCATGGGAATACCTGTACAAATTAAGACTGACAATGCTCCAGCATATGTCTCTAGAAAAATGAAACAGTTTTTTGCATATTACAAAATAAAGCGTGTTACAGGTATACCACACAATCCTAGATGGCAAGCAGTTATAGAAGGATCTAATTGAACTCTAAAAGATATGCTTAACAAAAAGAAAGTAGTAATAAAGACCTGCATAAATAGATTGCACAATGCTTTATTAACTTTAAATTTTCTAAATGTTAATGAGAATGAATAGACAGCTGTGGACAGACATTAGATAATAGAAAAACTGCTGAATTAAATCATCCTGTATACTTTAAAGATGTATTAACCCCAAAATGAAACCAGGATATGTGTTATATTGGGGAAGAGGTTTTGCTTTGGTTTCTCAGGAGAACAAAAACTATGGATACCATCAAAATTGATAAAGATTATATTTGAACAAGAGAGACTTCTTGATTAGAAGACGTGATAGTTCATCAAACAGAATGACCATTCAATCTAACTTATAAACTAACAAATACTTTTCATTTGATCTGACATAGCTTGCCAAAAGGGAAACTCCCCAAAGTTAGGGTTGGGGCAGGGTTTCATTTTTGTCTTTCCAGACAGGGTCGCCTAAAAATGCCATTACCTCCCCAAAATAGGAAGCAATTTAAGAACATGACACCCACATTCCCAAAGGTGGGATGGGTGGTTTTTGGTCATTCAGTGGGTTATGGATATCTGTCATTATTTAGGGGGTTTGGTTACAAGTTGTTAATGGTGATGGTCAGGAAAAAAACTGAACAAAGGAGATTAGATTCAGGGATCATGTTCTGAAAAGAAAAAGGGAGGATATAGAAATGATAGGATAAAAATGTACATTATTGAGTCTACTTTTAAACCAAAAAAGAAACTACTAGCCTTAAATATTTTACATTGGTATAGATTTTTTTATATTGATGCAAATTTAAGGTTATTTTTGTTATAATATATTGTACATACCTTCCTATTCTTATTCAAGGTATTATACCTATACAGTTGATTTAACAATGTAATGTAAATATCTAGTCCTTGAAAGCCATTATTACAAACTATTTAGGATAATAAAGAAATACAGGTTAGTAATTAGCCCCCTATTACAATCAAACTTGTAGTCATGTTAAGTATGTTTTGAGGTCAAACAGAGATATATTTTAGATAGACAGCTGGTCTTCAAACACTACAGGGATACTGAATATGGCATTTAAGATGTTTCAATAACATATTTTTTTTTTAGTGACAATGAGACATGTCTGCTCCTAGCAGTACCAGTCTACTTCTGAGAAGATGATGGACATCAAGGAAACTCCATATGGAGTTCACTTTCTTCACGACAAAGCTTAGCCACTAGGCCTGAAACTGCCTTTGCCTCGACTGCTGACAGTATACACAGCAGGACACAAAAGAAAGTGACTGTCAAACTTTGCAAGGACAAGGTAGAACAACCCTTCAAAAATCTGTTTCACAGAAAAGTCTGTCAGATATTCTAGACCTATAGGCTAAATATGGATGTCCCATGGTTACAGAGGCACCTTGGGGGACTCTTTCTGTCATTTCTTAGTTGTTTACTCTGCACTTCCTGCTTACTCAGGTAATATTTCCTTCTCAGGTCTCTGAAGGAGTGGAAGACTGGACAGTTATAGTTATAGTTTTCCTTGTTAACAAATTCACCTCACAAAAGACATGTAAAGTGCATAAGGTTGAGAGACATAAAAAGATAGTTTGGGGTTGGTAATGCAAGTTAGGGTAGAAAATAAATTAGGTACAACACTTTGAACTTACCAAGATAGGATAGATAATGGTGTAGTTTCTCTCAATTTGGCAAATGCAAATGAACTAGACATTGTTAATGTAATTCTTGCCTGTATATATTTGTATATAGTTATTGTACTTATTGTATATGGTTTTACTATGTTAGTTTAAAAAAATACCTGTCCTTTTTGCTTAGACAAAAACAAGGAAATGAGCCGGGCGGTGGTCGTGCACACCTTTAACCCCAGCACTCGGGAGGCAGAGCCAGGCGGATCTCTGTGACTTTCAAGGCCAGCCTGGGCTACCAAGTGAGTTCCAGGAGAGGCACAAAGCTACACAGAGAAACCCTGTCTCGAAAAACCAAAACAAAAAACAAAAAACAAAAACAAGGAAATATGTGATATTTTGACTGTGTTCTAACAAATCAAACCTGCTTGGAGTCAGAGGGCAGAGCTAGCCACTAGCTAATCATAGAAGTTTGGAGGACTCTAGACAGAATGGAGACAGGAAGTGGCAAAGGATGGCTGAGAGAAGATCTCATCATTTTGGAAGGAGGAACGGAAGAGGTAGGAAGCAGCTGGCAGCTGTTCCCTGCTCACTGATGTTCTGGTTCTTACCCCAATATGTGACTCCTGTTTTTTATTAGAAAAGATTAATCAGATTACTGCATCAAACCTCATCCATGTTTTAGTATCTACCTGATAAGGCTGTTGTGGTGTCCAATGGGACCAAGTAAATGACTGTCCTTGTTACTTCTGCCCCTTGCAAAGTTGCCCAGGAGTAAGCAGAATTCAGAGGTTCCCATAGGGTAAACCTACCACTGCAGGTGATCTCACTCCCAGAACATGAGTATGAGTAGGAGCTGGTGTAGGGGTTTCTTATGAGGACTGCACAGTTTTCCAGGTTATTGACCTGAGCGAGGCAGTTGTCATGAATCTGGCAGCACCTGGAGAGAGGAAGGAACAACTAAGAAAGGAGAATGGACCATTCTCCCCTCCAGTCTTTCTGAAACATGTGAGGATGATTTAACATGATGTTCCAGAACAAATTGTCCTGTGGCTTGAAATCTATGATTTCTATTAAGCATATATTTATTGAAAGCAACTTCTGTGGAGTGTGATGGTGTCTACAATTAATTCTAGTACTTGAGGGCAGAGGCAGATAGATCTCTGAGTTTGAGATCAGCCAGGATATATAAGTGGGATCCTGTATCAAAAACAGTGATTTTTGAAAAAAGCTGCAGGAGTACAGTGAAATTACACATTCTGAACTTTTGGTGACTTTTAAAGCCAAGGCTGACACTCTGATGGGAGCTGTGATGGTTGGCTGTGCCCTAGACTAGTGACTGAGGGCAGCATTACCCACTATTAACACCTCACACATTCTGCTTTGGGGGACCACTAGATACAGGGTCCTCTTGAACTGATTTCTTTGCATGACAAGAGGTGAAAACACATGCTGTGGGTGATGATGCACACCTTTAACCTCAGCACGCAGGAGGCAGAGGCTGGAAGATCTCTGAGTTCAAGGTGGGCATGGTCTCTAGAGAGAGTTCAAGGACAACTAGGGCTACATAGAGAACCTCTTTATGGAAAAATAAACAAAGAAAGAAAAATAAATAATAATAAACAACACAACATATACGATGTTTGCAGAATATGCATGTCTCCTATTCAGTCCTCATGAGATGCTCTGCTTGTGTCCTGTCCCCACCCCACAGCAGACACTCCAGTGTCCCACCAAGTGGATGACTCACCTGTCTAAGTCTTCCACTGGGTTGAAGAATCTCAAGAATCCACAGTAGCAGCCATAGTAGTTGTACTCTGGAAAGGGATTAATCAAAGGAAGGGTGCACTGGAGCGCATTGCTGAACTGCCAAACAGCCCGAGAGCTGATGCCCTGTGCAGTAGTTCCTGCTGCAAGAAAGCACAACACACTCCATCAATCCGACTTGACTTTACCAGGGGTCTGATGCCTGCCTGCTAGCTTCCTCCTGGACTCCTACCAGCTGCTGCATGGGGAGAGCAGTGAATAGAGGTGTGTGTGTGTGTGTGTGTGTGTGTGCTTGCCCCAACACAGGTGAAAGTAAGCACTTGGGACCACTCATAAATGCATGAGTAGGTCAGAGCACAGCTTCAGGGAGTTGGTTTTCTCCCTCCACTCTATAGGTCTTGGAGACCAAACTCAGGTCACCAGGTCTAAGAGGAAGCTATCTACTTGTGTGAGATACCTTAACCCAGTATACCCAGTATAGCCCAGTAACACAGTATAACCTCAGACTTCTGTGGCAACCCTCTGGCCTCAGCTTCCCCAGTGGTAGGATTATAAATGTACTCCACTGTACCTGGCTGGGCTGACACCACCCCCCAGAACTAAGTTCTACAGACATTGCCCTTTGCCTTGCTTGCCTGCTCATTTCTCACTGTCAGGACAGACAGCCACCACACTGTGAGCTGCCCTGGGGTCCCTGTGTGGAGGAGCTGAGAACACTCTCCAATCAGCACCCAGGGACACACTGACATCTTAGATCAATAACCCAAAATCCAACCATCTCTTAGTTTGAAAGCTGCCCCACCCCTACTCAAGCCTAGGTGAAACCCTAGCCTTAGCCAGCAGTGGGATTCATCACAGTTCTAGCTGAGACCTTGAACCAGAGAAGCAGCCAACACGTGCTCATTGTTTTACACTGGAAGAATTGGAAGGAATCTGTTGTGTGGCCATGCACAGCTCATAGACAAGGATAATGGTCAGATCATCATTGTAATGTCAGCATTTGACACAACAAACTGTTCATCCACTGAGGAGTGGTACAGTGAAACATACATGTTATAATCCCACCACTCTGGAGCCTGAGGTGGGTAAATATGAGTTCAAAGCCAGGACTGTCTATAGAGGGAATTCCAGACCAGCCATTGCTATTCAAAGAAACACTCACATGTAAAATGCCAGAAAAAAAAATTGTAATTCTGTGGGAGCCCAATTTCAGATTCCTAGTGGCTTTACTCAGCAGGTCTGCATAGACAGGATGATGGGACCACGGGCTTGAGTGCAGGTGTCTGAGATGCTCTGCACTTGGCTGTGTGTGGGGGAGGTTTTTTGCTCCGCCTCTTGGTGTTTCTATAAATACCTTAGGGCAGAGACATCGGGGCCCATTGGAATAGGTTCCAGGTCCTCTGGAGTCTATCCTGTATTTTTTATCTGTTTATCTCCGCACTCTAAATCCTTCTAATATTTCCTGTTGCTCTAAATCAAGAAAACGCTGGGGAACTGTGGGGTTGGTGAATAAACACCCTGCAGAATGGTGACATGAACAGGCACAAAAGAAAAGGAAACAGGGACTAAAGACAAAGAAAAATAATAGTTTTACACAGAGTTATTGGTGAAAGTGTTAAGTTACCTTCTGCGGGGGGTGGGAGGGTTGTGGAGGGGAGCGACATGTCCAGTGTTGTAATGAACTATATATATTAATAAGGGCAGGAGGTTTTATCCTCCAGATAAAAGAAAAAATGAACTGGAAGGATGTCCAGTGCTGCAGCACAAAAATCTCCTCTATCAAGATTTGTATCTTCTATTTCTATCTGTGAAAAATACGTATAAGTTAGTGTAGCAATATACTTTAGGAAAAACTTAATAGTGTAAAAGACTGTAGAAAAATTAAGATAGGTTAGGCAACTAGACAGAAAAACTCTTCAATTTTCTAACTTGGGGGCTATGAACACAAACCAGGAAAAAAATCTTTCTTTGAGATTTACAGATAGTAAAAAAGCTCTAAAATGAGCTTATCAGGGAGAAAAAAATTTCCTATGGAAGCTTTTTGCCTGGGGACAGCTGAAATACTAAGTCCAAGCAGCAGGAGAAAGTGATTGTCCCTGAGGCAAAAATGCAGATGTAAGAAGCCAAAAAGGTTAAAGTTCAGAAGTTTTGGAAAAATCGGTCTTTCTCTCTTGGGAAAAAAATCTTTCTCTTAAACTAAAAAGCTTTTCTTGGAAAATTTGGGGAAAATATCTCTAAAAACCCTTAATCTTTCTCAAATTAAAAGCTCTCTTTAAAAAAACTTAAAATAAGCCGGGCGGTGGTGGCGCACGCCTTTAATCCCAGCACTCAGGAGGCAGAGCCAGGCGGATCTCTGTGAGTTCGAGGCCAGCCTGGACTACCAAGTGAGTTCCAGGAAAGGCGCAAAGCTACACAGAGAAACCCTGTCTCGAAAAACAAAAAAACAAACAAACAAAAAAACTTAAAATAAAACCTTTCAGAACTCTCTCAGAAAGACAAAAGTTAGAATCGCCTGAGGATATTAGTATGGGAATCACCTGTGATTCGCTCTAAGGAAATCAACAAACCTCTTAGAATAGCAAAACCTCTGTAAGCTTAAAAAATCCTCCCTGCAATGAGGGTGGCAGTGCTTGGGTCCCCAAAATCCTCTCTTCTAAGCTCTGTCTCTTCAAGCTAGTAAAAGGCAGCAGAGGGTCAGAGTCCCCTGAAGAAATGTTTGGGAGAGTGCAGGTGAAGAGCCATAAAGAGCCCAATAGGGCAGAAAACTGTTTATGTGGGAAAAGTAACAGCCAAGACTTTTCAGTAGCAGCTGAGCTGAGGCATCAAGGGTTTTGTTTCTGATCAACAACAGAGAGGTAACTGGCCAGCGTCTCCGAGTTGGAGTGCATACTGGGATACTAGAGTTCCTGCAGTTGTGAACAACTTCCTGGAGCATAGGGCTGAGGCAGGAAGGTGCAAGACCCAGGGGAAAACCACTAATGAACAAGCAAAGCTAAAGGCAACAGGAACCGCACAGTAGCCCACTTTCCTGCAAGTTCCATGTTGATAGGTGGGGCTACCCAGCATCCACAGCTGCAAAAAGGAATCTCTCTGAAAATAGCATCCTATCAGAGAAACAGCCTTTCTGGGAAAGCAGTAAAGCTGAACTGTGTCTGCAGTTGGGCTGCTGAGTCAGGAACGCTGTCTGGGGAAAGAGCTCAGCCAGGGCAGAACGGAGAACAAACAAGGAGTTAAGTCTTTTCTATCAGAAAGCATCTTTTGGAGAAAAGCTTTGTTTTGACTGACTCCCAGTGAGGTGAGGGAGTGTAGCCCAGAGGGGTGATTGCCTCTGTTGCTCAGCTCTGTCTGAGACTGCGGGGACAAACGAAAGCAATCCACTGGGGGACTGGACCAGGAGAAAGCCTGATGAGGCAAACACCTGTCCTAATGTGAGCTAAGAGATGGCAAAAACCTCCCTTATTAGAAAAGCAGAAGGGCCGGACGGTGGTGGCGCACGCCTTTAATCCCAGCACTCGGGAGGCAGAGCCAGGCGGATCTCTGTGAGTTCGAGGCCAGCCTGGGCTACCAAGTGAGTTCCAGGAGAGGCGCAAAGCGCAAAGCTACACAGAGAAACCCTGTCTCGAAAAAGAAAAAAAAAAGAAGGAAAGAAAAGGAGAAGGTTGATTTTCAGTCTGTACACAAACCACACAGACCCCCAAAACAGAAACAGACAAAAAGCCCCTACCTTCAGTAGCAGGGAAAGCTGTCACTGTAGTGTCGGAAATGTTTCTGGGGCAGAGGGGATAAACTGAGACCAAACTAGGAACTGACAGGTAGATACTCTCTGAAGAAACAGATAACGGACAGATTCCTCCCAAGAAAGGTGCTAGAGTTTGAGGTAAATTGGAGTGGGGGACAAAAGCCCCTATTTTCAAAGGCAGCTAGCAGAGGAGCAGAACCACAGCCTGAGTTATCTGAAGCTCTGTATCTGGGGGTTAAGGAACAGTGAAAGACTCTGAAGGAGCTATGGAAAAACTCTGTTGTAAATGTTTGTTTTTCACTGGCTGAGGCAAACACAAGCCCCAAGGGAAGTTGGTAAAAGGAATGCCGGATTCAATTGCGTGTTATCGAGGCAGGTGCAGGTTCTGATCCGGGGCCACTGTCTGATGAAAGAGAGACACATCTTAAAGCCAGCTGAGGAGAAAACAGAAATCTCCCAATGTCCCGTAATCAAAAACATAAAGCGCTTGGTTCAAATCTCCCATTGCTAAAGCAAAAACTTTGAAAACCTCCCCGGTAAAAGAAGGCAGAAATCTCCTGACCTCCCATAGTTGAAAACTCAAAAAGCTTGGTTCAAACGTCCCAGGCAAAAAACTTGGAAAGCAAGACCAGTAAAAGTCAACTAAAAGTTGACTTTCAGACCTTAAAAGAACTATGGGAAATGAAGTCCAAAAGCTAGCTTATAACAACAAACTGCTATAGAGAAATGCATTCTGGGAAAGGTACTTTTTCAGGTGAAGATGGCAATGCTGTCCAAAAACTGTTTTTTCAGCTCAGAATCAAGTTTCTTCTCAAAGCAATGCTAAAACGCTTAATCTTACCTCTTGAGGTCTCAGGTCAAACAAAAAGCTACCTATAAGAGCAAACAAGCCACTTTAAAATCCTTAAGACAAGGGAAAGCAGTTTATACACTGAACGTGGTTTTAGATATGAAGAAACGTATGGGAAATTTTAAAAAGTTCTTTACCTCTTAAACAAACAACCCGCTGAATAATTCCTTTGCAAATCTAATAAGAAGACAAGGAAATGAGCATTCAAAAAGAAATGACTGCTTTATAGATGAGAAACAAACTTCAGAAAATCTCTTAAAAAATAGTTGCTTCAACTGAAAGTTCCTTATAAGAAATCAATGCTAAATATCACAGCTGCTAACAATAACATCAGGGGTTAAAGCTAATGAAGTGAAAATACTAAATCCTGAAAATGCTTTTCCTCTGAGTAAGATAATGAAGGATACGTTTCATGAAAGAACACCTATGTTCTTGACTCCTTTCAATAGTAGCAGTTTTGGTGAAAATGTTGGGCTAATAAAAATCTATCAGAAACATCAGCATGGTTAAAGAACTCATGGTAAATACAGCTTTAAAAAAAATAAGAGGGGAAATTGTATCAGAGTTTGGTGATGAGTGTATAAAGGAGCTAAAACAATGCTCTTGATATTAAGGTTCCATCTTGCAGTCTGGGGACAGTAGGAGAATAAAGAGGCTTCCAGACAGCTGAGAAGTTTGAGACCATTTTAACTAAGTTTCAGCAATGTTTTCAGACCTGATGGAAGTTGCAGGTCTGGAAGCCCATTCCAATTTAGACAACTATCTTCTCCTGTTAGGAAACTGTCTGTTGAAACAGAATATTCTTTACAAGGTTTTTCTTCTTGTCTCTTCTTTTTTCTTTCTTTTGGGTTTGCTGTAAACTGAGATAGCTCTTAATAGAGTTGTTATAAAACATCTGAAATGCATAGCAACAGAAGTCACTAAGTTTCAGAGTTAAGAGAGAGCCATTAAAGAATTAAACTCCTGTTTCTCAAGAACTTTCAGAATGATAAGCTCTGAACTTTAGAAATGATTGCATACTTTCTGTCTGGTTAAGAGAATCTTTCGAATAAAGATAGTGATAATAATTAGGAGTAAGAAGTAGAAAATTATTTCTGTCTTGTTAGAAGATGTTAAATCTCTTCTAAGTGCTACAAAATCTTTAGGTGTTTGCTAAGTTAGACATATGCTAATAGTTGCCCTATACAGAGTTTGCTTAATATGGATTTGTAAAGTAGATCTACAGAATTTGTTTAAGTCATGCAGAAAATGGCCATGATGTAGGTTTAAATAAGAAGTAGATAAGTTTTAGATCTGTAGAATTTCTTTAAGAATATAAACTTGTAAGAAGTATCTAAGGTAGTCCTAAGACATGTAGTAATAAGCTTGTAAGAAGTGTGTAAGTTCAAATAAGAATATAAGAAAGATGCTAGTTGTAAATATAACTTTAAATAAGAATATAAGAAGTAAGTGTATAAGTAAATAGATAAATATATGTTCATTAGTTCTATGTGAGTTTGTTAAAAAGTGTAAATGTTAAGTGTGAGTCTCTGCTTAAAGTGTATTGTGAAAAAACCTGAGATACAGAAGGAGTGTCCTAAAAGACTGCAAAACAGTCAGTCTGAGCAGTTTTCAAAAGCTCCAGAAGCTGCTAAAAAGCTAAGAATTGCAGACTCCAGAACCAGCACAAGGCATCTGCAGGTGAGATCCATGGAAAAATCAATGCAACACAGAAAAACCTGAGCTAAGAGCAAAAAAATGGTGCAGTTTAAAATACTACTGTAACAAAAAATGTCTCCAGCTTGAGAATGAAAGTTGCAGAGACGCTTGTTTGAACAAAAATGGTTAACTGCAAAAAGTTTTGGTTGTAAAACATCTCTTCATATTTGGAAGTGAAAGTCTGATACCAGAATTTACTTTTTTTGAACTTTTTGAACATAAAACATGAGATAAAACTACAAAAAGGTCTTGGTTATGGATTTCTTCATATTTGGAAGACTGGTACCAGAATTTATTATTTGTATTTTGGGACTTAAGAAATGAAATGAACAATAGTGATTTCATTGCAATGGGACAATTTTGAATTTACTTCTAGT